AGGGCAGGCATTCCAGGCAAAGGGGACAGCTTGGGCCAGAGTGCAGGCAGTCAAGAACATGGCATTGTCTGGAAATCAGCAGATGATTATGTTTTGCACACAGGTTGGTATGGGAGAATATATGAAATTATGTACTGTGAAAGGCCTTATATGCTCTGCATAAAGAGTGTTAGCTTTTTCTCTGTAATCATTTTTCATGGTATGTTATGTGTACCACAGCTGGTACATGTGATGATTTTTTGTATTACACTAATGAAATTTAGTTTTAATAGTTAAACAGTTGACTCTTAAATAACACAGGTTTAAACTGTGTGGCCCACTTATATGTGGATTCTTTTCATAAATACAGTGGGGCCTTGACTTACGAGTTTAATTTGTTCCGTAACTCAAATTACCCGTATGTCAAATCAAAAAGTGAACGAGTGAGACGCGTGATGCTGGGCCGATGTTGTGGCATTCACTGTGATGTTGGCTGCGCCAACTAGCAGTGGAGTATCTGAAGCTGGCTCGTAACCCGAATTTTAGCTCGCAACTCAAAGCAAAAAATCGGCCGAGAGACGGCTCATATTTCGAAAAACCCGTTAGTTGGGACACTCATAAGTCAAGGCCCCACTGTACTGTAAATGTCTTTTCCTTATGATTTTCTTAATATTTTTTCCTCTAGCTTTCTTGTAAGAATACAGTATTTAATACATATAAATACAAAAATGCGTTAACTGACTTTATTGGTAAGGCTTCCAGTCAACAGTAGGCTATTAGTATTTTGGGGGAGTCAAAAGTATACATGCATTTTTGACTGCACCAGGAGTCAGTGCTCCTAGCCCCCACAGTCTTCAAAAGCCAACCATGTATTTATATGTACATTATATAAGAAGGTAGTTAAGGTGTAATTGTTTTTTAGTGGTGTAGCTGAGATGATGAGGGTCTAAACGAGGCCAGAGGATAGCTATAATTTTTGAGAGAGAACATGAGCAGGGCTTGGTGATTAATAGATGATTGGTTGTGAATATTAGGGAGGCAAAAGGGTAAATCTTAGGAACTCCTAGGTTTCAGACTTGGTTAGCTGGGGGTAAAAGTCATGGAAATGGAGAATGCAGAAGGAAGAGAAGTATACTATTTTGCTTGAAGTGCCTGAGAGAGCTGTCTAATCCTGAGCTGTATATATCACTCTGGCACAGGAGAGATTTTGTTAGGTAAGTAGTAGTTGAAGTGTTAGCAATTCCTACCTAGGAGATGTGTAAAGTAAGGAGCTAGAAGCAAGCAAGTAGTACAGGGTGGGGAGTGGGGGGGACAGACAGTGGAAGAGGAACCTACAGAGGAAACTGAGAAGTAAAAATCCATAGAGAGTGATGTCATAACAACCAAGGAGGAAGGATAGTTGCAAGGAGAAGAAAGTAATCATCAGCTAAGATGGTGTATGAAAGTGGTTACTCTGGAGAAGGCCAGAAGGGACCCAGGAGATTAGGGTGGATGATGAAAAGGAACTCTAGACTTTAGCCTTACCTTAATTGTTTATTTGTTCATTTTACAAAAGAATGTATTCATAAAAGTAATATAATAAAATTTAAGCATTCATTTAGGTTTGGCATTTGGAATTTTGATTTGGAGAGCACTTTTAGTGAAACAGTAGAGGAAAAAAGCTCCAGGTGGCAGATAAGTCAAATTGTTAAAGGAATCTTTGAAAGTGAAGCATAGAAGATAGTTTTTGATTAGTTATTTTTTTTGTTTGTGCCAGAGAAATCAACAAAGAGTCACTTGTAAAAGAGAATTCTAACTTATTGCTATTACCATTTATGGAGTCTACCATCCATTACATCAGCTGTGGGCAAACTACAGCCCGCAGGCCGGATCCGGCCCGTTTGAAATGAATAAAACTAAAAAAAAAAAGACCGTACCCTTTTATGTAATGATGTTTACTTTAAATTTATATTAGTTCACACAAACACTCCATCCATGCTTTTGTTCCGGCCCTCCGGTCCAGTTTAAGAACCCATTGTGGTCCTCGAGTCAAAAAGTTTGCCCACCCCTGCATTACATGAAAAGGAATGGAAAATGAAAAAGATGCTTAGACTTTAACTTTAGAATAATCTTGAGAATGAATTTCTTCTCACTGTTTACCTCCCCACTTGCAGCCTTCTTGTTGCCCATATTCTTGGAGTAATTAACATTTAATAGGCCCTTAGTGTATGACATACACTATTCCCTTTAATGTCTACATATTTATTAATATTTTATCTGTGTGTCCTACTGTACAGTGTGAGTGAAGAAAATATTATTTTCTCTGTGTCCTTGAGCAAATACTGTTTCTGAACCTTTTTTTTTTAACAGCTGTTGCCCACCTCTAAGATTGTGGGTCTTAAAGATAACATAAAAGCATCTAGGCTTGAACCTAGCACTCTGTAGATGTATCTTAAAAGTATTGCTTTGCTGTTTCCTTTTACCTCTCTGCCTTTTCCATTAAGTGGCCATTTTAACCTATGATAGTGAAATTCTTTACATCATAAACTGCACATTTAGGTATCAGAATCCAATTTGAGAAGCAAAACCAATATAAAAGTAAATTAAAGCCTATCACAATAAATTTAAAGCCTTGAAGTAAATAAATCGTCACCATTAGCAAAAAAAGTAATAAAATATGAATTTTGTGAACTATACACTAGTTCTGTGTTAATAACTAAAAATTAACCTGGAATATGTTTTGGCAGTGTCTGTATGATTTCCTGTACTATTTACTTATGTAGCCAACTAGAGGGCTGGTGCATGAAAATTCATGCAATGGAGGGGGGTTCCCTCAGCCCGGCCTGACCCCTCTCAAAGTCCGGGAGCCCTCAGGGGCGGGAGGCGACCTGGGGATCAGGGGAAGGTGACGCTTCCATCAACCTCTGCTGCTGCCACTGCCGGCAGCACAAGCTTCAGCCAGTCCTGGTTACCTGCACCTCGGGCCAGCCCTGGGCGGCTGAGGGGACTGGGGGCCTCCGGTGGCAGGCGTGCAGCAAGGCCCGGGCTGCCTGGGGGTGGGCCCGGCCTTGCCGTGCGCCTGCCACCCTGGCGAAGCCAAGGGAACCAGGCACTGCCATCTTGTGCCTGGGGGCGCCGCCATCTTTGAGGGCATGGCAGTCAATTAGCATATTCCCTCCTTATTGGCTCTTTGCGATGGTGTGAGGGTCAATTAGCATATTCCCTCTATTAGATAGGATAAGCATTTGAATTATATTTTATTTGTTTTCTACCATTGCTTGTTATCATTAGTATCAAAAAAAGTAGCAGCATACAATAGTTAGCTATGGAGTGAAAACAATTTTACTAGCCGTATGACCTTGGAAAGTTACTTAACCTTTCTGTGCTTTTATTTTCTCACTAGAGGCCTGTGCACTCGGCGGGGGAAGGGGGGTCCCTCAGCCCGGCCTGTGCCCTCTTGCAGTCTGGGACCCCCTTGGGAGATAACGCCCTGCGGGCTTAGGCCTGCTCCCGGGGTGGCAGAGGGCAGGCCCAATATCTAGGTGCAGTCCTTGGTCGGGCTAAGAGCAGGGATGATTGGGGAGTTGGGGCGCCGCCCCCTGTCATGAACCGAGCAGGGCGGATCGGGAGGTTGTG